CACGACGGGGGCCTCTCTCACCACACCAGCTATGAGAGTGGCTGGCATGGCGTACCCGCCTGAGGAGTCGTGCTGCTGGTGCTGGAGGTACTGCTGCTCGAGGTGCTGCGGTTGGAGCTGCTGGAGCTGCTCGACGTGGAGGCGCTGGGGGTGCTGGTGTTTCTGGTTCTGGAGGTGCTCGTACTGGAGGTACTGGAGCGGCCAGGACTGGTAGTACTGCTAGCACTGAGGGTGTTGGTACTGCTAGCGCTGAGGGTTCTGGAGGTGCTCGTACCGGAGGTACTCGAGCTGCCGGGATCCGCGGTGCTGGAGGCACTGGAGCTGGAGACCTGCGCGTTGGAGTTCGAGACCTTGGAGCTGGAGGTGCTGGCCCTCGAGGTGCTGGCCCAGGGGATACTGAGTCTGTTGGTGCTGAGCCTCGGGGTGCTGAGTCTGCTTGAGGTCCTCCTGATGCCGCGTCGCAGCGGTCACCTCTCTCGCCGCAACAGCTGCACGAGTGGCTTGCTTCGCGCACCGGCCTTCGGAGTCGCGCTGCTGGAGCTGGAGGCGCTGCTGCTGGAGGTGCCGGAGCTGGAGGAACTGGAGCTGGAGCCCTGGAGCTGGAAGTGCTGGTTCTGGGGGTGCTACTGCTGGAGGCACTGGAGCTGGGGGACCTGGAGCTGGTGTTGTCGACCCTGGAGTTGGAGACCCTGGGCTAGAGGTACCGGTTCTGGGGGTGCTGCTGCTGGGTGCACAGCAGCTCGAGGCCCTGGAGCTGGTCCTGTCGATCCTGGAGTAGGAGACCCTGGAGCTGGAGGTGCCAGTTCTTGGGGTGCTGCTGCTGGAGGCCCTGGAGCTGGAGGTTCTAGACCTGCTGGAGGAGCAGGTGCTGCTGGTGCTCCTTCTGGAGGTGCTGGAGCTGCCGGAGCTGGTGGTGCTGCGGGCTTTGGAGCTGGAGGCGCAAGCACTGGAAGCGGTGGAGCTGGAGGCGCTGGAGCTGGAGGTACTGGAGCTGAAGGCGCTGGAGCTAGAAGCGCTAGAGGTGGAGGTTCTGGAGCTGCTGGTACTCGTACTAGAGGTGCTCGTGCTGGTGGTACTGCTCAGCAGCACCTGTTCTTTGCTCGACAGCCACCCTCGTCTCTGCCACCGCCTGACTCCGCGCTTCGCCAGGTTCTTAGCCTCCCGTCTTCTACTGGTCTCCCGTTACACCACGCTCTCCACTGCCTACTCCTTCTCCTTACACTAAGCACACAGACTCGCTTATAGAGCGTCGTGAGCCTGCGTCTCGTCCTGCCTCGCCTGTTCGCACTGGTCGCACTGGCCGTCGTGTTCCTCGTGAGCGTCCTCCTCCTGTCCCCGGCATGCACACTATGGTACTTCTTCCTTCCTCTGTTCCACAGCATGTTCTCATGCCGTCTCCTCCTGCGTCCTCTCTTCCGCACGTTCCGAACCCTGAGTCTGACTTAGCTCGTGCTGCCAGCCCTATTGTCACCCGTCTCCTGGCCTCTTCTATCACTGACCCTTGGTTTGAGTCTACGGCTGCGTCTGCCCTAGGAGCTGAGCTTTTCGACTTTGCTGCTCGCTTTTGTCTAGACTATGCCACTAGTCTTGTTGCTGAGTCAGAGTCTGTCTATCCTCCGTCCGTCGTGGGTGAGTGTGCTCCTGGCACGGACGTCCTTGAGGACAGGCAGCAGGACTTTGAGTGCTTTGGAGCTGCTGTACCTCATCTCGTGTCCATGCTGATTGCACCTGAGGGAGACCCGGATGCACCAGGCATCCCGACCCCGCGCTCTTACACAGAGGCGATTGAGGGTCCCTAATCCTCTTAGTGGCAGTCAGCCATAGACGCAGAGATGGCATACTGGAAGTACACAGGCACTTACGTCGACGCTGTTCCCCCACCTGGGGCGAACATCATTAGCGGCATGTGGATTTTCAGGGTGAAGCGGCCGCCGAGTTCTCCGCCTGTCTTCAAGGCGCGTTACGTTGCTCGAGGCTTCAGTCAGAGACAGGGAGTTGACTTCTTCCAGACCTTCTCCCCTACCCCGAAGATGACCACTCTTCGGGTTCTGCTGCACGTCGCCGCTCAGCGTGACTATGAGCTTCACTCTCTTGTCTTCAGCACAGCTTTCTTGCAGGGCAGCCTGCACGAGGAGATCTGGCTGCGCCGCCCACGTGGCTTCACTTGGTCGTTTCCTGCAAGTACCAAGTGGAGCCTTCGGCGGCCTTTCTACGGTCTCCGCCTGGCGCCTCGCGAGTGGCACGACACACTGAGGACGACACTTGCAGCTCTTGGGTTTGCTCCTTCGATTGCTGACCCGTCGCTGTTTTTGCGCACCGACACTTTGCTGCCGCCGTTCTACATCCTCGTGTACGTCAACGACTTGGTTTTTGCCACTGCTCACACTGAGGCACTGGCCCTAGTGAAGTTGGAGCTGCACAAGAGAGACACGTGCACAGACCTTGGAGAGTTGCGCAGCTATCTTGGCTTGCAGATCATCCGGGACAGAGGACGGCGCACCATTATCATGACTCACTCACACATGGTGCAGCAGGTCCTTCAGCGCTTCCGCTTCACGTACTCCTCGCCACAGTCCACTCCTCTGCCTACCGATCACTCGCTCTCAGCTCTGCCTTCGGATGAGTCCGTAGAGCCGAGTGGCCCGTATCCAGAGCTTGTGGGCTACCTCATGTACCTGATGACCTGCACTCGTCCTGACCTTGCTTACCCTCTTAGCAGCCTGGCACGCTACGTTGCGCCCGGGAGACACCGACCAGAGCACTGGGAGGCCGCTAAGAGGGTGATGCGCAACTTGTGCACTACGTCGGACATGGGGCTCGTGCTTGGAGGTCGGACTCGAGTTGTCCTCACTGGCCACGCAGACGCTTCTTGGGTTGACGACTTGGCTACGCAGCGGTCGTCACAGTGTTACACCTTCAGTCTTGGCTCCGGCTCTGTCTCTTGGCGGCCTATCCGTTCATCTTCTGTTCTCAGTTCCAATTGTGAGGCTGAGATCTACGCGGGGGCCATGGCTGCACAGGAGTTACGCTTGCTCACCTACCTGCTGACCAACTTGGAGAGCCGCCTCGTTCTCCTCCAGTTCCGTACATCGACAACAAGGCCATGATTGCCTTGTGTCAGGAGCACAGACTGGAGCACAGGACGAAGCACATCGCTCTGCGTTACTTCCTTGCTCGAGAGTTGCAGCAGCGTGGACAGCTTCGTCTTGCTTACGTTGCCTCTCGGGCCAACACCGCTGATATCTTCACCAAGGCACTTCAGCCTTGTGATCATCAGCGGTTCTGTACTGTGCTAGGACTTGTGCCTACTTGGCCTCACTTTCTCACCTCTTAACTTTGCTTGTATTGTGATCTATATTATATACCTGCATCCCTACTCCTGCGAGGTAGTGATCAATGTACTGTTGTTGTTGCATATATACCTCTGCATTTGAACTGGCCTTGTGGCCCTTTGCTTGTGCTCGGAATGTATGGTGACGTTGTGATCCACCCTATGCTTGCTTTGCTCTTCTTGACTAGTCTTGTGACCTCTTGTTCTCCCCCAGTTTGCCTATGGGGGTGTGTCAAACTATATATGTGCTAGTTCTGTGTAGGCTATAGTGGGTTAGCCTGTTTGGGGTGGGGTACAACCCAATGTTAGGGTTAGTACTTGTACCCACAATCCTTTCAATGCAGTCATTCTTGCTTCTTATCTTGATAGTACCTGCCAGGCACCCAATGCATGTGCGTCATGAAATGTTGCTTGCAGTCTGATTCACCCGCAGGTGTGCCATCTCCTTATGACCATCCCATGCCATGCTACCTAATGATATCCTCTGCCTTCTGGCATTCGCCATGTCATAAGACCGTCACACTCCATGTCTCCTGACTCTCGTGAGTTGTCTACACATATTTTTATTAAAAAGGCGGATTGAAACACGGGAGAGGGGTGTGGAATGTGTCATGCTTGCATCGTGTTAGGAAAGGAGGCTTGTTCCATGGTTTCATGTATGTGTTCAAAGTCGCTGCACCAGTCTTTTAATGACTGGAAGGATGTGTTTGAGGAGGCCGGTGTACCTGAATGCCTTGGCACACATGTACCTAAACTCGTTATTTGAGTTCGTTTTAATAGCAGAAGTTCTCTAAGGTGATGCTGAGCGTCTCACTTGTACGACGATTTATTCAGCGGAGTGATTTGTTGTTTTCTTTACTCTCTAAAATGTCAGACCAGCTGTATGTCATTGTGTACACTCTTGTTTGGTCATTATCTAATGTGAATCGATTTTTTCGAAGTGAGCGGACGACTTGCCTTGTTTGAGCGGGAAATGTTTTCCAGGGTATGGCGTTCGGTCACATCCAGAATGTGAGGGTGCATTCGGGAAGTTCGGTGCTGCAAGTCGGCTTTTCATTGGCTGTCTTGGGGATGCTCCAGACTCTTTTTGGATGTTTTTCGTAATGGCAAGGGGCAATCACTGAAGCTCCGAATAAGTTTACTGACATTTCGCCAGACTTCCGCCAGCACAGCCAACCTTCGACTGGTTTTTAGCCAAATGAAGAACTCCTTGATTTGCCCGTACTTAAAATGTCTGATATTATGAGGGAACGCTTGAATTTGTTTTGCCCTACTTTAGTCCTTTTTCTGAGAAAACGAGAAGTAGGCTCAATCAAGCTGCACCTCCTCTTCAATCTCGTCCTGTCCTGCGCTCTTGCCCCAGCCTTCCCAGAATTCGTCTCTTGGTTCACCACACCACTCCTGAGTCGGAGCAGTCCAGTTGTGTGCATTCATCTCGCCTGCCTGCTCACATCACATCCTCCCAACCTAGCACACTGGATGCGACAACTGCGAAGCTCCTCTCGCGACTGCGCTCCATACGTCACTGCATCCTTTCCCTTCAATCCCCCACTACTCTACCGTTCGTCTGCTTCCCCTTCGCACCAATCCGCGAGCCTCTCAACCAACGCGTCACTCGCTTTCGTGTTTCCACCCGGTGCGCGCGCAGTGGTCGTCGCACGTGCGGGCGATGCCGACCTCCTACGCGGACGGCGGCGAGGCCAGGCGGCGGCCCGGCAAGGCGGCGCCGGACGCCACCAAGTGGGCCGCCGCCAGCCGCTCCTTCTCGCGCCCACCCACTGGCAGGTGGGGACTGGCCAATGGGAGCAGGACACCCATCCGCAGCCGCGGCTCGATGCGCGATCTGATGGACGCCGCGATGAGCCCCGTCGCGGGAACCCCGGAAGCCGCCAGCCCGCGCGCCGCCGACGGCTCTGCCGTGCCGCCGCTGGCGTCGCTCGCCAAGCCGTCGTCGTCAGGCGATCTTTCGTCGCTTGGCGACGCGAACAGCGACATTCCGTGGTGGTCCGTCGCTCTGCCGCTCGACTCCTCGGGCGGTGCCGCGTCGCCGCTCTTCTCCCCGCTTCTCTCGCCGTTGCCCGGCAATTCCGGGTTGGGCGGCGAGGGCTTCGCGCTGTATGGCGACTTGGGGCGGCTGGACGGCGAGTGGGACAGCCCCGAGGGGCGCCGCCAGTCAGACGTGTCCGTCGCCGGTGCTGCGGACGACGACGCTGGCGACGCTGCTGCTGCTGACGTCACACAAGGTGCGCGAGGTGGCGGTGCGGTTGGGGTGGGAGCAGCGGCGGGAGAAGGTTGGGGCGACGAGGCTCTCGGTAGCCGCGGCAGTGACGACCATGTCGCTGCTGCCAGCGCGGCCAGAGGTACGAGTGATGCCGGCGTGGCGCGCAGCAGCAGCAGCAGCGCGTGGGACGCGTGCGACGGCGACATGAGCAGCAGCGGTGCTGCGGCGGGAAGGGGCGTGGGGGCGGACGTGCGATCCCCCGCGAGTGGTGGGGAGGGCCGCGCGGAAGGGCGCGCGGAGGAGCACGCGGAGGCTGCTTGCCCTCACCCGGCGGAGACGCGGCAGGCGGAGGGCGCAGCAGCGGAGGCGGTGCAGGCAGATTCAGTGCAGCCCGTGGTGATAGAGGCGGTGCAAGAAGGCAGCGGGGCGAGTGGGGGTGAGCGGGAGCAGGTGGGCGGCGAGGCGAGTGGCGAGGCGGGTGCAGCGGGGCTGCAGAGGCGCTACCCCAGCTTCCGCGTGCGCGGCCATGCGCCGGACAGCAGCGCGCAGGACCGCGAGCTTGTGCAGGCACCCGCCTTACCCGCGGCAGGGGCTGCTGCTAGGCCGGGCGTGATGGTGGGGCAGAAGGGCGTGCTGCAGCTGTGGTCGCCCGGCAGCTCCCCCTCAGATGTGTCCCCCTCCGCCCTCGCTGCCTCTGCCGCCGTGGCAGCAGCAGCAGAAGCAGCTGTCCGTGCGGCGGACACTGGCAGCGCCAGTGGCGATGCCATGGACAGCGCGGGAGCATGGCGGCCCACCGCGCATGTGGACGGCTCACCTCTCCCCGCAGGTGCCTTGTCAGGTGAGCATGGGTTGCTGCTTCCCGTGCTTGTTGTGCTCACTGCGTTGTTCCTGCTGCGCACTTGCCGCTCCTTCCGTCCTCACCGCCTTCCCCTGCCGTGCACAACGCGCGTGTTGCCCATGGCTGTGCCCGGCAGTGGCGGCAGCAGCAGAGACGAGGTCCAAGCGCCGCCATCCCAAGGCACCCGCAGCAGCAGCAGTGGCGGCAGCGGCAGGGGGGCCATCAGCGGCGTCCCCGCGGGGGGCGTGGCGCAGCGCGGAGGCGAGGAGCAGCCGGCGGCGGCGCAGGGCGCAGCAGAGGCGGGCGGGCGCGCGCGGGGCGAGCGGGTCGTCGGGGGAGTCGGACGATGACTTCTGGGGCGTGGGGCAAAGCGAGGGGCGCGCGGAGGGGCAGACGGAGGCGGACGGGGTCCATGGGGCCGTGGGGGGGCTGCCTACAGGGGTGGTGGCGCCGTGTGAGAGCAGCGCTGCTGCTGCTGCTGCTGGTGCTGGTGCTGGTGCTGGTGGTGGTGGTGTTGATACAGGCAGTGATGGGCGTGGCAGTGCGGGTGCAGCTGTGGAGGCAGCGAGTGGCATGGCGGAGTGCAGCAGCGTGGAGTTGCGGCAGGGAGGGAGCAGCGACGCGACAGCAGGGCGCATGGCAGCTGATGGTGCTGCCGTGCCATGTGACGAGTCTCAGCAGGTGGGCTTGTGCACGAGGCTGCTCTCCAGTAGTGTGAAGCGTGACGGGTGTATGGGTGACATGCTGCCATTCCCCACCCCTGCACGTCGCCATGCCCCCTCATCTCCTCCTGCTCCTCTCCCCACCCCCCGTGTGTGCTGCACCCCTCCACTGCCCGCGTGCCCCCTTGGCCCAGCCGGCCCCCTCCGCTGCACGCACGCCGTCTCGCTTCGCGTCCCTCAGGCAGCGCTGGGAGCACGGCGGCGCTGCTGCTGATGGTGGTGCTGCTGACAGCGATGGGGATGGTGATGGCAACGCGCGTGACAGCCAGGGACACGGTACACCACGGCAGCAGCAGGCGCAGGGAGAGGGAGAGCGAGAGGGAGAGGGAGGGGGAGGGGGAGGGGGCGGCAAGCAGCGTGCAGGGGGGGTGGGTGGGGAGTGGCAGAGGCAGCAGGGTGCAGGGTTGGGGGCAGGGGTGGGGGCGCGAGGGGCAGCAGGTGGGGGAGGGTGGGTGGGGAGAGGGGCCGCAGAGGGCAGTGCGCCTGGCGGGCAGGCAAGGGCGGGTGGAGGCGGAGGGGGGCGCGTGGCGGAGCTGAGGGCGCGCTTGGCGGGGGGAGCATGGGGGCAGGGGGCGGGAGCAGCACGAGGGGCAGGGGGCTGGGCGGGTGACGCGGTGGCGCTAGCAGCTGCGGCAGGGGATGGGGACGGGCAAGCGAATGGGGAGAGGGGAGGGGCGCGGGCAGGAGGGGGCAGCAACGTGGTGGTGCTGACGTGCCCGCAGGTGGGCCGGCAGCAGCGGCAGCAGGGCGATGAAGCTGCTGGCGGCGCTGGTGGCAGTGACAATGGTGATGGTGGTGGCAGTGGCGGCCATGCGGGTGGCGCAGCAGCGGAGTGCACGGTGCACCTCATTGGCACGGCGCACGTCTCCAAGGTATGCCCCCACGTTTGGGTTGCCCCAGAGATATTAGGAGGTGCTGTGATTCAAGCTCTGGAGTGGTGCTTGTGCATTCATTGTGATCCAATCTCGTGCCTTGACGGCAACAGGCCGTTCTAAGGGCGCCCTGCATGCTCAGCTTCCATCTCATTCATTGAAACCGTGTCGTCCGTGTGATGTGTGAGTGAGTGCATGGGTGCGTGCAGGAGTCGTGCAACGAGGTGCGCCGAATCATTCGCCAAGTTAAACCGGATGTAAGTGGGTGCTTTCAGTCTTGTAATCGCGGCTGTTTGCCGCATCCCATGCCTGCCCTCACCACTACCCCCATGCACTGCCTCGCACTCCCATGCCTTGCCTTCTTCCCACCTTGACTGGAAGTCCAGAAATGGCTTGGCATATGCATTGCAACCATGCATCGTAGCGCATGCATGCGAGCATGTGTGCACCGGGGTCTGCCTCCTTTTTTCACCCGCCACCGCGCTATCCCACTGCTTGATATTTCCCTCCCCTGACCGCTGCGTGCATCAGGTGGTGTTCCTGGAGGTGTGCTCCGACCGCGTCGCCATGCTCATGCCCATGGACCACCTGCAGGTGAGTCGCCATGCTCATGCCCATGGACCACCTGCAGGTGAGTCGCCATGCTCATGCCCATGGACCACCTGCAGGTGAGTCGCCATGCTCATGCCCATGGACCACCTGCAGGTGAGTCGCCATGCTCATGCCCATGGACCACCTGCAGGTACCCCTCCCTGCCACCATGCACCCATCTATCCTTCCTCTGCTCGAGCTCTTGTCATAAAACAAAGTCTGTTGTGTTGGACGGGTGGCTTGGCTGTTGCAGATGAGAATGTGATGGAGTGGGCAAGTCTCTTCCCGCAGCATGCATGCACGCAACCGTGCCCTCATCTGCTTCATTGTTTCCTTTCCACCCCTCCCTTGGCGCCACCAGCTGCCATCACTGGCGGAGCTCATGGCGGTGTGGCGCAGCAACAAGTCCAACTCCTTCGCGCTGCTCTACGGCTACCTGCTCGCCAAGGTACCCTCACACAATGTGCACACGGCTCCAAGTGCCAAATTCGAAAGCTTCCCGCGAGCACAGCTTAGAAGTTGTAGGATGTTGAGTGTCCCCTGTTGATACGGACTGGCAAGGTAAGCGGTGGAATGGAATGGAGTACAGCAAGGGGGGAGCTGGAGCTGTAATATGAGCTCCAAAGCCCGAGGATCTCTCTTGTATTGACCCCGCCTGTCCACAGTCGAGAAGCAAGGCACAACACACGAATGGTCATATCCGCTGCACAACCACTTTGCCTCTCACATCCCTTTCAGCCCCCCTCGCTCGCTCGCTGCCATGGTAACGTGCCCCGCCCTCTTTCAGACTCAGAGCGCGTGTCTCCCCCCTCCCCCCGGCAGGTGGCGGCGCGCATGGAGGTGTGTCCCGGGGCGGAGTTCCGAGCGGCGTACGAGGAGGCCGTGGCGTGTGGCGCTGTCGTCAAACTCGGCGACCGCCCCGTGCAGGTGGGTGGGGGTGCTTGGGGTTGTTGCTTGCAGGGGAAGCGTGCAGGTGGGTTTGGAAAGAGGGGAGCGTGCAGGAGGGGAGGGGGGGGCGAGCAGGTGGGGAGGGGGGGTGTGCAGGTGGGGAGGGGGGGGCGAGCAGGTGGGGAGGGGGGGTGTGCAGGTGGGGAGGGGGGGGGCGATCAGGTGGGGAGGGGGGGTGTGCAGGAGGGGAGGGGGGGGCGAGCAGGTGGGGAGGGGGGGTGTGCAGGTGGGGAGGGGGGGGCGAGCAGGTGGGGAGGGGGGGTGTGCAGGTGGGGAGGGGGGGGCGAGCAGGTGGGGAGGGGGGGTGTGCAGGTGGGGAGGGGGGGGCGAGCAGGTGGGGAGGGGGGGTGTGCAGGAGGGGAGGGGGGGGCGAACAGGTGGGGAGGGGGGGTGTGCAGGTGGGGAGGGGGGGGCGAGCAGGTGGGGAGGGGGGGTGTGCAGGAGGGGAGGGGGGGGCGAGCAGGTGGGGAGGGGGGGTGTGCAGGTGGGGAGGGGGGGGCGAGCAGGTGGGGAGGGGGGGTGTGCAGGAGGGGAGGGGGGGGCGAACAGGTGGGGAGGGGGGGTGTGCAGGTGGGGAGGGGGGGCGAGCAGGTGGGGAGGGGGGGTGTGCAGGTGGGGAGGGGGGGGCGAGCAGGTGGGGAGGGGGGGTGTGCAGGTGGGGAGGTGGGGCGTGCAGGTGGGGATGGGGGGTGTGCAGGTGGGGAGGGGGGGGCGAGCAGGTGGGGAGGGGGGGTGTGCAGGAGGGGAGGGGGGGGCGAGCAGGTGGGGAGGGGGGGTGTGCAGGTGGGGAGGGGGGGGCGAGCAGGTGGGGAGGGGGGGTGTGCAGGAGGGGAGGGGGGGGCGAACAGGTGGGGAGGGGGGGTGTGCAGGTGGGGAGGGGGGGCGAGCAGGTGGGGAGGGGGGGTGTGCAGGTGGGGAGGGGGGGGCGAGCAGGTGGGGAGGGGGGGTGTGCAGGTGGGGAGGTGGGGCGTGCAGGTGGGGATTGGGGGTGTGCAGGTGGGGAGGTGGGCCGTGCAGGTGGGGAGGTGGGGCGTGCAGGTGGGGAGGGGGGGCCGAGCAGGTGGGGAGGGGGGGTGTGCAGGTGGGGAGGGGGGGGCGAGCAGGTGGGGAGGGGGGGTGTGCAGGAGGGGAGGGGGGGGCGAACAGGTGGGGAGGGGGGGTGTGCAGGTGGGGAGGGGGGGCGAGCAGGTGGGGAGGGGGGGTGTGCAGGTGGGGAGGGGGGGGCGAGCAGGTGGGGAGGGGGGGTGTGCAGGTGGGGAGGTGGGGCGTGCAGGTGGGGAGGGGGGGTTTGCAGGTGGGGAGGTGGGGCGTGCAGGTGGGGAGGGGGGGTGTGCAGGTGGGGAGGTGGGCCGTGCAGGTGGGGAGGTGGGGCGTGCAGGTGGGGAGGTGGGCCGTGCAGGTGGGGAGGTGGGGCGTGCAGGTGGGGAGGTGGGGCGTGCAGGTGGGGAGGGGGGGGCGTGTGAGGGGCGGCTGCATGCCCAAGTGGAAGGCAACGAGTTGTTGGCAGCCATTCACCACGACGCCGCTTGCCCTTCAACGCCCCTCTATCCCCCCTCCTCCTCCCCCTCCCCCTCCTCCCTCTCCTCTACCTGGCGTGCATGGCATGACATGGCATGGCATGGCATGGTGTGGCGTGTGGTGTGGCATGGCGTGGCGTGGCGTGGCGTGGCGTGGCGTGGCGTGGCGTGGCGTGGCGTGGCAGGTGACGCTGAGGCGCACGTGGGCCATGATGAGCCGCTGGCACCGAGTGAAGCTGGTGGCAATGCTGCTGCTGCAGGCGCTCTGGCTGCCCTCCAAGGCTGAGCTCGACCACCTCGTGAGTCAACTCAGTCAACCAGCGCACTAGGGATTCGGCTTGTTAGGTTGCTGCCGTCCCTCCTGTCCGCCCTCTGCTTAAGCTCTCACACCTGTTCCCGCTACCCCTGCCTCACCTCCCCCATGCCACGCCTCACAGCCATGCCACGTGCCTGCTCTGCCCACACTCATGCATGCCGCCCCTGTTAGAAGGAAATGCTGCCATGAGCAACAAAATGCTGGCGCTGGAAATCGAACCCGTGACCTTCAATCTGTCCTGAAAGTGTCACAGGACAGATTTTGGATAGTTTCTGCTGGTTATGGTGCACGCGAGTTTCGAACTGGAGACTTTTCGATTCAAGTGTCCTAAAAGAGTCATTTCAGGACAGTTTGGGGACAGTTTGGTGAGACCAGTTTCAGGTCGCGTTCGGATTGAAACTCGTCGGCAAAGTGTCGAAATCAACGGAATTCACACAGGAGTTACAGTCGGTGGTCGACAGAATTCTAGTCATGGAAATTCTCGTCTACGGATTTCCAGACAATAGAATTTGCCCGGCCAAATTCAAGGCTCTGAATTTCGCGTCGACAAAATTTAGCGTACGACTCGGGTCGACCCTTTCTTGCGTGCTTTGTTGTCGTGCTGCGTTCTAGTATAAAACGAGAGAGCACAAACTAGAAATCAACTAAGTCACTATCAGTGCTATGCTTTCGTGTATCTTTGGCTGTAGTTAAGCGTTTCCTGCAATCTTTGGTGCGTTAGAGTCGTGCTTCCGAGCTCTATCAAGTTGCTATAGTAGTGGAATTTTACAACCCCTTCTCACCCTTCCCACCTGTCTCCTACCCCCCAACCCCCCACGGCAGGTGGAGGAGCTCAAGTCGTCGGACCTGCTGTCACTCGCCGTGGCGGAGATGGGCCGTGCCTTCCCCTCGCTGCTGCACACCCTCATCCACGAGCGCGACCTGTAAGGGAATGAGGACTGGGGAGCGCGACCTCTACGCCCCCCTCCCTTCCATTCTCTCTCGCTTCAACGCTCCTTGTCATTTATTCAACCTGGTACAGCAAATGTAGGTAATGTGGTGAATGCAAGCAAGGCAATGGGGGTGGTTGGGGTTTGGTCGGAACTTCCAGAGCAGGTGAGCTGGCTGTAGCAGTCCAGGCCACATTTTCTGGATACAGGCGGGTTGGTGCCAGGTTGAGGGCAGGGTGGGTGGCAGGTTGAGGGCAGGGTGGGTGGCAGGTTGGGGGCAGGGTGGGTGGCAGGTTGGGAGCAGGGTGGGTGGCAGGTTGGGGGCAGGGTGGGTGGCAGGTTGGGGGCAGGGTAGGTGGCAGGTTGGGGGCAGGGTGGGTGGCAGGTTGGGGGCAGGGTGGGTGCCAGGTTGGGGGCAGGGTGGGTGCCAGGTTGGGGGCAGGGTGGGTGCCAGGTTGGGGGCAGGGTGGGTGGCAGGTTGGGGGCAGAGTGGGTGCCATGTTGGGGGCAGGGTAGGTGCCAGGTTGGGGGCAGGGTGGGTGCCAGGTTGGGAGCACGCTTGATATTATGGGCGGGAGGGGGTGGGGGTCTGTTCAGGCCCCTACACTCTCTTTCCATCACCTGTCAGTACCAACCGCACCCTCCCACCCATATCCCCCTCCCCTCCCTGTCAGGTACATGGCGTGCATGCTGCGGCACGTGGCCAAGAGGAGCTTGCGCGTGGTGGCGGTGGTGGGCAAGGGGCACGTGGCGGGCATCACCGCCCACTGGACGCGCACCGACATTGATGTGAGCGCACCGACATTGATGTGAGCGCACCGACATTGATGTGAGCGCACCGACATTGATGTGAGCGCACCGACATTGATGTGAGCGCACCGACATCGATGTGAGCGCACCGACATCGATGTGAGCGCACCGACATCGATGTGAGCGCACCGACATCGATGTGAGCGCACCGACATCGATGTGAGCGCACCGACATCGATGTGAGCGCACCGACATCGATGTGAGCGCACCGACATCGATGTGAGCGCACCGACATCGATGTGAGCGCACCGACATCGATGTGAGCGCACCGACATCGATGTGAGCGCACCGACATCGATGTGAGCGCACCGACATCGATGTGAGCGCACCGACATCGATGTGAGCGCACCGACATCGATGTGAGCGCACCGACATCGATGTGAGCGCACCGACATCGATGTGAGCGCACCGACATCGATGTGAGCGCACCGACATCGATGTGAGCGCACCGACATCGATGTGAGCGCACCGACATCGATGTGAGCGCACCGACATCGATGTGAGCGCACCGACATCGATGTGAGCGCACCGACATCGATGTGAGCGCACCGACATCGATGTGAGCGCACCGACATTGATGTGAGCGCACCGACATCGATGTGAGCGCACCGACATCGATGTGAGCGCACCGACATCGATGTGAGCGCACCGACATCGATGTGAGCGCACCGACATCGATGTGAGCGCACCGACATCGATGTGAGCGCACCGACATCGATGTGAGCGCACCGACATCGATGTGAGCGCACCGACATCGATGTGAGCGCACCGACATCGATGTGAGCGCACCGACATTCGATGTGAGCGCACCGACATCGATGTGAGCGCACCGACATCGATGTGAGCGCACCGACATCGATGTGAGCGCACCGACATCGATGTGAGCGCACCGACATCGATGTGAGCGCACCGACATCGATGTGAGCGCACCGACATCGATGTGAGCGCACCGACATCGATGTGAGCGCACCGACATCGATGTGAGCGCACCGACATCGATGTGAGCGCACCGACATCGATGTGAGCGCACCGACATCGATGTGAGCGCACCGACATCGATGTGAGCGCACCGACATCGATGTGAGCGCACCGACATCGATGTGAGCGCACCGACATCGATGTGAGCGCACCGACATCGATGTGAGCGCACCGACATCGATGTGAGCGCACCGACATCGATGTGAGCGCACCGACATCGATGTGAGCGCACCGACATCGATGTGAGCGCACCGACATCGATGTGAGCGCACCGACATCGATGTGAGCGCACCGACATCGATGTGAGCGCACCGACATCGATGTGAGCGCACCGACATCGATGTGAGCGCACCGACATCGATGTGAGCGCACCGACATCGATGTGAGCGCACCGACATCGATGTGAGCGCACCGACATCGATGTGAGCGCACCTGACATCGATGTGAGCGCACCGACATCGATGTGAGCGCACCGACATCGATGTGAGCGCACCGACATCGATGTGAGCGCACCGACATCGATGTGAGCGCACCGACATCGATGTGAGCGCACCGACATCGATGTGAGCGCACCGACATCGATGTGAGCGCACCGACATCGATGTGAGCGCACCGACATCGATGTGAGCGCACCGACATCGATGTGAGCGCACCGACATCGATGTGAGCGCACCGACATCGATGTGAGCGCACCGACATCGATGTGAGCGCACCGACATCGATGTGAGCGCACCGACATCGATGTGAGCGCACCGACATCGATGTGAGCGCACCGACATCGATGTGAGCGCACCGACATCGATGTGAGCGCACCGACATCGATGTGAGCGCACCGACATCGATGTGAGCGCACCGACATCGATGTGAGCGCACCGACATCGATGTGAGCGCACCGACATCGATGTGAGCGCACCGACATCGATGTGAGCGCACCGACATCGATGTGAGCGCACCGACATTGATGTGAGCGCACCGACATTGATGTGAGCGCACCGACATTGATGTGAGCGCACCGACATTGATGTGAGCGCACCGACATTGATGTGAGCGCACCGACATTGATGTGAGCGCACCGACAGCGTTAGTGAGACAAACACACACACGCAGGTGCGCACACTCGTGAGCGCCCGCGCACGCACGCACCCGCACCCACACCACACCCATACACATACGCACACAGGCACGCACCCGCATGCACGCACTCACTAGTGTACGTGAGGACCCCCTCGCCCTCTCCCTGCGTCCCGTGAACCTGCAGGTGGCAGCGCTGCTGCGCATGCCTGCCCCCCCCGCGCCCTTGTTCTCGCCGCTTGCGTGGCGCTGCTTGCTGGCCGGCATGGCTGTGGGGGGCGTAGGTGTGGCTGCTCTCACCATCACCGCATGGCGCCGCCGCTGACTGCCTCTGCCTGCCTCTGCCTGCCTCTGCCTGCCTCTGCCTGCCATGTTGAAGGCAGTGAGTACCACGGACTGAATGAGCTCGCAGCAACCACCGTTGCATGAACCCAAGTGCCATGCTTGCGCCGTGCATTGATGTCTATACTCTATTGGGGCCTGATATGGAATTCAGAGCATCCTGTACATGCTGGGAAAATGTGCGCATGAGAGTGGCAAATTCCAGATGTGATATGGAACCCTTTGTCATGATAGCATAGCGGAATGATGTGTGACTAGGATACATAGGGCAATCCCTAGAAAGTGTTGTACCCTATACAATGCACCTCGCTGTAGACTAACAAACTTGCTAATATGTGACACACCCCCACAGGCTGAGGGGCATCGCACGAATAAGACAAATGGGTGGCTCAAGTAGTCCAACCATTAGAACAAATGGTGACAACGCCGGTCAGCAAACCCAGCAATCCAAGCAAAAGCAACACAAGAGAAGCAATGCAACTCAGGCAGGGCTCTTGCTAGGATCTGAGGGCGTCTGATTCTGTCAGACGGGTCCCCCAGGCAAAACAATTGTTTTGTCTGATCTAGATTGGAAAATCAGATGGATATAAAAAAATGAGTCTGAAAATCAGACCATCAGACCAAAATGGTCTGATAACGAGAGCCCTGAACTCAGGGTGGCACAACTACCGTATCACCCCGGATATAAGCGCAGGCCTATGTTAAGCGCATTCGCTTATATCTGGAGCAATGCGTTTATGGCCGATCCTCAATTATAAGCGCACCCCTTATAAAACCCTGATTTATTATAAGCGCGTGTATAAACATGTAAAAAAAAAACGGATTAAAACAGTAACGACTTCCCGTTTTGAAGCGAGTCCACATCCACTTCTACTCTGTTCGACTCCCTCGAGTGCGGGCTCGCTCAGGAAAAGCGCAACGGCGCGAAGTTGACCTGACAGGGGGGCTCGGGAACACCTGTTGTTGTCTGTGCGCTGCGAGCGAGCGACTGCAGGCTATTGGTCGTACACTGGGGCAAGCCTGTGCGATGCGAACGAGCGACTGCAAGCTATTGGTTCGTACACTCTGCTGGGGTGAGCATGACACGTTCCTATGCGAAAGTGACGTGTCCTTGCCCTTGTGCGCCGGCAGAGAATCGCCCTCGTGCGATTCTGATTCAGAACGCTCCACACATTTCGATTTGAATGAAATTGCAAGACTCTAATGCACAGTTTGGTGCGTTTATAACATATTTCTGTGTTTGTCTTTATATAAGCGCATGCGCTTATAATTTAAACTCATATATAAGCGCACCCCCCTAAAAAACACTGTTTTATTATAAGCGCCCTTGCCCTTGTGCGCCGGCAGAGAATCGCCCTCGTGCGATTCTGATTCAGAACGCTCCACACATTTCGATTTGAATGAAATTGCAAGACTCTAATGCACAGTTTGGTGCGTTTATAACATATTTCTGTGTTTGTCTTTATATAAGCGCATGCGCTTATAATTTAAACTCATATATAAGCGCACCCCCCTAAAAAACACTGTTTTATTATAAGCGCAGATGCGCTTATATCCGGGGTATTACGGTAGTCCAGCCTCCGAGACAAATGGCCACAAGGCCGGTCCAAGAGTATAGATTTATATGTAGATAGCAATACAAACAGTCTAAGAAACAAGGAACAAGCCTACAGTAAACGAGGGCCTGCCTGAAGAAGGCCAAGCAAGGAATAGTACCATACCTGTGATGGTCACCAGGCGGAAGGGCATTGGTGAAAATGTCCGCAGTCAGGGTCCTCGCTAGGATTTGAACCCCCTTGATGCATCAGATATTTTGTCTTTTACGTGCCTGAGGAATCAGAAATTTCTAAAAACCTTGTCTGACCAATCAAGTTACCGGTATAGCAGATTTGTTACAATCCGAAAGAGGACTTAGCCAGGGATCGTCTCAGGGTTGATAGCGGGTAGTTTGTTGCAGCGGAAGTGTTGACCAACAGCCCGGTTGGTTCAACCGGTCCGTCGGACCAACATCCCACCTGGACAAACCGGCCCATCGGGCCAACAGGCAAGCTGGTCCTATCGGTCCATCGGACCAACAGCCCAGGTGGTCCAACCGGTCCATCGTACCAACAAGCAAGCTGGTTTAAACTGACCATCAGGCCAACAGGCCAGCTGGTCCAACTGGTCCATCAGGCCAACAGCCCGGTTGGTCCGAACGATCCATCGGGCCAACAACCCAGTTGGTCCGATCGGTCCATCCGGCCAACAGCCTGGTTGGTCCAACCGGTCCGACGTACCAACAACCCAGCTGGTCCAACCGGTCCATCGGGGCAACAGGCCAGCTAGTCCAACCGGTCCATCAGACCAACAGCCCAGCTAGTCGAATCGGTCCATCGGACCAACATGCTAGCTGGTCCAACCGGTCCATCGGACCAACATGCCAGCTCGTCCATCCGCTACATTAGACCAACAGGCCAGTTGGTCCAATCGGTCCATCAGACCAACAAGAGAGTTGGTCCAACTGGTCCATCAGGCCAACAAGCCAGCTGGTCCAACTGGTCCATCGGGCCAACAGCCCAGTTGGTCAAACCGGTCCATTGGGCGAACAACCCGGTTAGTCCAACACCGTCGGA